GGGCATTGTGGCGGGCACCTGTAGTCCCAGCTACTTGGGAGGCTGAGGCAAGAGAATCGCTTAAGCCCAAGAGTTTGAGGTTGCTGTGAGCTGTGGCATCACAGCACTCTACCCAGGGCGACAGCTTGAGACTTTGTCTCAAAAAAAAAAAAAAAAAAAAGATCCATTGACATCCCCCACTCCACTTCCCCTTCAAGGAACCGGGCTCTGGATTGACTGGGCCTGAGTCCTCCAACCTTTGTCCAAACAGACGGGTAGGATACCCACTTACAACCCCCCCCATTCCACAGAGCACATCAGGCTCTGTGCTTCCCCCCTCCTCTGAAAACCCAACATCCAGTACCTTAGCAGGCCCGTTCTCCCTCCCCCACTGCCCCAGCCCTAGGCCCTGGGTGGGGAAACCAAGGGGTAGGGGGTGTGGAGAAAAAAATATCTGACTTCAGGTTCAAAGAGGTCTGGGAGGGACTGGGGGGAAGGGGCAGGACAATGGCCTTGGCTGGACAATCCCAGTCCCCAGAGGGGGTAGCTCTAACCCTAAACAAGTGCTCAACCCTTGAATGGGCCTGGATGGCTCCCCTGGGGACAGCTTCCTGCCCCTCAACCCCCTAGTCCCAATCCCCTCACTGATCCCCCTAGAGAGGCTAAAAGGAGCTCTAGCAAACCCCCTCCCCAACCCCCTCAAAGACTGAGGCTCAGACAGGCACCAAGGGTCCCCTGCAGGGACCTAGGTAGCTTGCTTGCTCCCCCTTCCTCTGGGGACTCAGGCATCCTGCCTCGCTATCATCCGTCCCCAGCTCTCCAACCCCTGGGCTGTGCTTTGTTGAGGGGGGCTGCCTGTGGGAAAGATGCCAAGAAGGTAGATAGCAATTTGGGGGTACAGAAAGGCTGCCATGAGCTCTCCCTCGGGGTGTTTTTCTGGACCTTGCCTAAGTGTCCTGAGGGCGCAGGCTGCTGGGCTAGTGCTTGCTTCTTTTTGCAAGAGAATAGCCCACAGAGTGCCTGTCTGTGAGGGATGATGTTTGTCTGTCTGCTCCCAAAACCTGCCCTAAGTGGAGTTCTGGGGTAAATCAGAAAGGGGCTCCAGAAAGGCTCTGGACCAGAAAGCCCTGTATTCTGCAAGGCTAGGATCTTGAGCTGGGAACTTGCTCTCTATCAACTTAAGTAAGTCTCTAAATTGCAGGTTCCAGGCACAACCCTGCCTTGGGCTGCTTGCTATGGTTGGTGGCATTGTCTCTGCCTTCCTGGGGGCTGGGTGTACTGTAATGGTCCTCCTGACTGTGGCCAGCTGTCTTTCTTTGGGGGAAGGGGGGAGGTGAGACAGTCCTACTCTATTGCTCTGGGTGGAGTGCTGGAGTGTCATGGCCTTATAGCTTACAGCAACCTCAAACTCTTGGGCTTAAGGGATCCTTTTGCCTCAACCTCCCGAGTAGGTGGGACTGGTAGAGATGGGGTTTCACTCTTGGTCAGGCTGGTCTCAAACTCCTGAGCTCAAGCAGTCCACCCACCTCAGCCTCCCAAAGTGTTAGGATTATAGGTGTGAGCCACCATGCTCGGCCTGTGACAGGTTATTTTCATCTTGGTGGCATCCATGAGCTTTCTGAGGTTTCCCCCCACTCTGAGTCTATCAAGCTGGCTCTTACTATGGCCATCTCCCATCCAAATAGACTTTTCGAACAACTAATTTTATGTGTGCATTTCAGTACTTCCTGTAGGTCTGTTCAAAGATCTATAAGGCAGCGGGGTTGCAGCAGAAATCACCTCCCAGCCATTAACTGCCAAAAAGGCAGGTAGATTAAGGGGCCCAGTAGGGGAGGAGAAAGGTGCTTTGGAACAGGAGGGGCCCCTCCCCAGCCAGCTCCTCCAACCCCCGAGACAGAGCCATCATGGCACCTTTGTCATGCATCTCTCTGCTGTCTGCCAGGGAGATGGCCACCCCAAGGAGGGGGAGGGGCAGGCCTGGGACTCAGATGAAATCCCAACCCTAGTTTTCCTCAGCTTATCACCCCTTCTGGTTTCCCAAAGACCTCTCTTCCCAAGCCAGCCCAGAGAACCCCTGCTTTCTGTTTTCCCAGCTACTCCTAACACACCTTTCTCAGTTTCCCCCACTTAACACCTCCCTCTTGATTTTAGATTACAATTTATAGTTGCTCTAGGTGGCTAAGTAACAGGGTGCCACTACTGAGAAAGCCCTTGCTGGTTTGGGCAAGAGGACTGTTCCTAAGAGGGATCCAGAGAAGGGGTTGGGTGCGTGGATCCCTGGCTGCCTTGGTGAACTTCCTGCATGCTTGGACTCTGAATCCCAAGCTTAATGGCAAGTTGAATTTGTCCAGAGTCCTAGCTGGCCCCCTCCAGGGGTGCTAAGGACTGATGGGAAGCTAAAACTTGCTTCTCTTCTTCTTTCCCACCTTCTTGTTAGGCCCAAAGGGTAGGCAGCTTCACTTCTGCCATGGCCAGCTCTGCCAGGCCTGACCCAGTGCTGTTGGCCCCTATTGGAGCTGGAGAAGACTGGAAGCCAGGCTGAGTCATCAGATCTGACTCCTTGACCTTCTTTTGTCTTAGAGAGTCACCAAAAAACTTCAGGTGCCCACAACAAATTTAGGACTAAGTTCGGGGATACTCCGCATACATCTTTATTATAGTGCAATGTCAAAGCCCTTCACAGAGCACTGTGTGGGGAGATGCAAATGAGGTCCACCACTCCCACCAGGTATGGGTGACTGGCATGGCTGCAAAACCTTGTGATGAGTGACCAGACTGCTGTCATCCCTCGCTGGGGGATGGGACGAAAATGAAAAATGCAGATGTGGACCAATGGAGACTCACTCTTGACTAAGGCGAGGAAATCACTTATTTTGACTTCTGAGGTTTGTCAAGCTGAAGGCAAAAGAAAGGGAAGGAATAGAGGGTTGTGGAGAGGGGGTTCAGGCTTGTCCCACCTTAGGAGATGATCTCCCTTAATCTCAGGTTACTCAGATTCTACTGCTTGCTGTCCATGGACCATCCCCCTCTTCTCGACAGCAGGCTTTCTGATCTGCCCAAGCTGTCTTTTCCCAAATCCAGATACTCTTAACCTCAAATAGAGGAGTCAACTCTCTGGCTGTAGCCTGCAGGGAGACAGAGGTAAGAGCAGGAGGGGTAGAGGAACTGGAAGAAGGGGTCAGGAAGAAATCAGAAGGCCATGGACCAGGTTCAAGGCCCTGGCTCTGACTCCTCAGCTAATTGCACCTCTCCCTTCTGTGCCTCAGTTTCCTCACCCAGTAAAAAGGAACTAGACAAAATGAACTATAAATATCCCTCCAACTCCAACATAAAATTGCTACCATACCCTTCCATCAACCCTCCTTACTTACTTGACATGGGAATGTAGACTTCTCTCTGCCCACCTGTGAAGAGAGATGGGGTGGGAAAGCTGAGAAGGCTGTTCAGTGAGATGGTGGCACAGGTCTCCCTACACCCAACTGTCCACCTCCAAGCCGACTTCCTGGGAAATCTGGCAGGTTTTCCCCTCAAGTTTCATCAAGAGGTAGATGAAGACTCGTGCCTGTAGCTCAGTGGTTAGGGCACTGGCCACATACATCGAGGCTGGGGGGTTTGAACCCTGCCTGGGCCTGCTAAACAACAATGATAACTACATAAAAAAAAAAA